TCACGCATTGAGCATGACAGTCACTCGTTTCAGTCTTTTGTCTCACACTCCCGTCACACATTTGTATTTCTCATGCGGAAAAACTATTAATAATATATTTAATATACGCAATTTCTCTGGCCGCGCCGCTCTCACGTGAGAATCAAGCGCGTCTCGCCTGGAGTTCAGCAGTCGACCCTGCTACGCATCAGCCAATCAAAAAAAGAGAAGTGCTACTACATTGGTTGTTAGTTTTATCTACAGTTACAAAAATCGGTATATACATTGTACTCCTCAAGCCGTACAACTTTCTAATACATAGTCATTAGCTCGGACCAAAAGGAAGTCAGATATTTTGGTCTGAATATGGTGAGCCTCTCTCTGAGCCTACATCCCTGTATGGCAAGCCCTTTTAACATTTAAAAGCTAAGTTTGCCTGTCCGGAATTAACATTGTAGATATCAACAACGTCTTTCTGTGTAGTCGTTACACTTTGGATAGTTTGTATTATCATTTAAGATATCTGTAACATAATTGTGACTAGTCGAAATGACAGAGTATGGCAAGCCGTTTTAACATTTAATCATGAAAGGGCCAAAGCCTTCGGCACCGCCACCCGGGTGCCTTTAGGTAACTAAAGGAACCGGGGTTGCGGTGCCTCCGGCTTGGGCCCGCCATCGCTGCTCGCAGCTATATTTTATGTATTATGATTTGTGTATTATGAAGTAACGTTAGTTCATGTTCAACTTGCCAACTGTATCCAGCATAATAAACACAAAAATATACACCACAGTATAAAACAAGATAAATAAGAACACACAACAGTAGGCTACATATAAATTTAAAATAAAATGGTATATGTTAAATGGTAATTTAACATATACCATTCGGAGTATTTAACAATGTGTTTGTACAAGGGATAAATTAATATTTGTATAAATTGTTCTTCATCTTTGATAGTTTTATAGCAAGAGCAGTTAAAAAAAAGTCACTAGCTAAGAGCATAACTGTTGAATAAAACTGACTTCTTTTTGGTATTCACGTCAAAACGCAGTTTATTGTAAATAATAGTCCCTAAATATTTATTTATTTTCCACACACTCCACCTTCTTACCTTTAATGAACGTACATTGTGAAGAATGAGCTTCAGTTCTGAAATCAATACTCATATCTTTAGTCTCAGATAGTCATCAGCAGACAAGCATCACCACAGCATTTTACAAAGTCATCAACAACTCTACCATGACAAGTTAACATTTTTTCAAAGTTTTGAATACTCTCTGATCAATTTTGTCTTCCCCGGGTAGGTTTTTCTGAATCTGATGTATTGACGGTTGACAGGAACTCCGTTTCCACAACGATTACGTATTTCCGTTTTTTTGTGAAAAAGGTCTATTAAGAAATTCCAATCAACTAAAGATACTACAAATCTGCCACGAAGAGGATGTTTGTCTATATTGTCTTAATGCATGGCAAGGAGGAAAGTTTGAGTGGCCAAAGACTCTCCAAGGATCACAGATGGAGAATTGCAGAGATTAGTCCAGTCTTGGGGGCAGAAAAATCAAATAACTCCTACATGTTTCAAGAAAAATCATCCTCGCTCATCCAAAAACAAACTCCAGAATATTGAATTGTCAGACATGACTTGAATTTCTAAAGGGATCAGATTCTATGGTCAGATGAAACTATAAAAAGAGTTTTTTGGCAGCAAACAGGGATGAAAAGCACCCCATGTCCACAGTTAAATATACTGCGGTATCTTTAATGTTGTGGGCCTATTTTTTTGGCGGTAGGTCTTGGCCATCTTGTTCAGATACATGGTATCATGGATTCTACTTAGGATGAGTCGCGATCTTCGAATAGTCGAACTGGGTTCGAAATCGATCATAAAATTGCTATTTTGAATATCATTATATTTTCGCGCAATTCCAATGTGACATAATTGACGGCGCGTCTACTGTCGCAGCAGTGTATTTTCCTGTCGGGGACTCAAGGTGTCTCTAACATGAATGAAACCCCCTACTGCGCGATCTAGGACAAATAACAGAAGAAGAGCATTGTCGTTACCATTAACAGAGGTGGTTAGTAACCTTTACTGCCTATGGTAGTAACAAAGTAGGCTACATTTACTTTGTTACATTGGGTGATGTTCCTCTCGTTGCTTTATTTTAATGCAATACATGTTGTTAAATGCGTAGTTTATTCCAAGCGCTTTCCATGGGGATGAGCGATTATTCCATTATTCCATGGGCATGAGTGATGCTCAATTTACAAATGAATCACTATTTGAATCGATTCTGTTCAAAGACTTGTTGAACAAGGATCCGGACCAGTGTCCCCACGTCCATCACTGGACATTGTCGATAAAATGGCCCGGGTCCCCACAGCGCCAACAGGCCGGCCCAGGCTTTACCGCTGACCCAGCAGCGGGAAGGGGGCCAAGGGATTGACGTGGGGAGAGTGGTGTCCCCGGAACCAGGGTGGATGAGTCCCCCGCAGTCGCCCCCCGCAGACCCGTCCTCCCCCCAGAACTGCTATCCGCCGGCCAGCCGGACCTCCACCGCGGTGCTGGGCGGGGCACCAGGCCCCCTCGAGACCTGGGAGCGGGGAGAGGTTTAGGAGAGAGAGAGACGGGGGAAGAGAGAGAGAGACCGATGGGAGGGGTTCGCCGACCCCCGAGTACGCTACCATGTGATCCTCCGCCAGTTAGATGGCCTGGTCCAGCGATGTCGGGCGGTGGCACTGGACCCATTGGGCGGTCTTCTTGGGAAGCTTTCCCACAAACTGCTCCAGTACCACCTGATCGATAATCTTCTCGACGTCGCTTCCCTCGGCCATCAGCCATCCGCGGCAGGAGTCCCGGAGCTGTTGCGCCATCACGAAGGGCTGGCCGGACTCTTCCAAGGTCAAGGACCTAAAGCGCTGTCGATGCTGTTCAGGGGTCCGGCTGACCCGCTGAAGAATGGCGCACCGTAGATCGGCATAGACCAGGAGATTCGAGACTGGCAGTTGGTGGGCGGCAATCTGCGACTCTCCGGATAGCAGTGGGATGAGACACAGCAGCCAGTCTACTTTGGGCCACCCCCGGGCCTCGGCTGACCTTTCGAATAGGTCCAGGAACGCCTCCGGTTCGTCCTGTGGACCCATCTTCCCCAGGGACAACGGTGAGGCCGAGGCTGATGCTGGTGGGGGGTTGGCCGGAATCTCCCAGACGAGACAGCTCCGGAACAACTCGTGGTCTTCCTGCTGGCCTTGGAGCAGCACCTGGAAGCGCTGCTCATGTTCCTCTTTCATGCTCAGCAGGGCTTGATGTTGATCTCGCTGAAGAGCCGAGTGACTGGATGGTCTCCGCAAATGGCGATCCTGACGGGCTCTGCATGGCAGCGGCAGACTCCTTCTTCCCGGGTTTCGGCACCAGTGTAACAAAGTTCGTAATAAGTTAATAGGAAGAAGGAGACAGGGTCGGCGGTGCTGGAACTCGAACTGGATTTTATTACTCAAAACACAAAACAAAAAGGCGCGCACACAGCGCATTCACCGTAGCTCGCACTACAGCAGTTCTCATTTACAAAACTCTTTCCACGACGATAGTGACAGCTTCTCAGGTCACAGCACGAGTTCCAGCCTGCTCTCTCTCCCCTTCCTTCTCCCCAGTGGCGCAAAAAGTGGGTATGCGCTATATGCGGCGCATAGGGGCGCAGCACAATGGGGGGCGCCAAAGCGATGGTAAAAAAAAATTAAAAAAAAATTATATAGGCTATATTTTATTTCTATATGTAGCTGCCGTTGTGCGTTTCTAAATAATTTCTGCATTCCTTCATTGTTATATAAAATTTTAGAGGACTAACAGCTAGGCTAGAGTAGGCGCCCTCATGGAGAAGGGGAGCGGGTAATATCGCGAGCGGGCGGGGGCGCCGTGAGCGCTGAGCGAGCAGGTACGAGTAGTTAGTTGTTAGTTTCTAAAAATAGAAAAAGAAAGAGAGAAAAGGAGATGGCATGTCAATTGATGCGACAGCAGCTAAATAACTGCATGCATTGCTGAAAGCCAACAGGTAGGATTTAAAATGTGACATCCAGGCATGGCTATCTATATCTCGGTGGCCATCGGGACTACCGGGAGATTCCCGCTGGGCCGACGTGCTTTTCAGCCAATACATTTCATCCTTTTTTAATTTATTTGTCTTAACGGCCCACAAAACTCATACATCGGCGGCCCATTTGTTTGTTGTTTGTTTTTGTTTGTTTTTTGCTTAATTGGCGGCGCTGTGCTGGTGTAATGCATTGGTCAAAAAAAGTCAGCTTTAGTTTTTTTTTTCTGACACACTGGCCCATGAAATACGTCATTATGCGCAAGTATCTTTCAACTATAGAAATTAGTGCAAAACTAATTATGAAAGTTTCCTTTATTTTTCTGTGCATTTGTTTTACAATAGCCTTTATGGCTATTACTATCATGGGATTAATATTATAACTATTATTATGTAGTAGTGTAATGTAGACAAACACTAACTAAAAGAGGTTCAAATTTTTCTCTGTTTAATTTGCACCCTGAACATGGGTTGGAGCTTTCAATTTTGAACTCTCAAAGTGCACCAGACTGCTGAATTTAACATTACAGAACACAAAATTTTCTTACGTGGGAGCATGCCCCCGAACCCCCCTAGAGAAACAGAGGTCCACAGTTTTACCTAAAATCCTGTGAGAAACACTGGTATTGCTGTTCCAATGGAGCTTATAGTTTTCTTGGGGGGGGGGGGGGGGCGCTAAAATTGTTGCTGCATACCCCTCTGAAACTGGGTAGTTGCGCCCCTGCTTCTCCCGCTGTGCTGGTTTTATCAGTCTCCCACACCAATCACTTCAATCAGACACAGGTGTTTATCATTTGCACTTGACCCACTTACTCACCGCACAGTTCCTTGACTCGTCTCTCAGTGCAGACAGTGCGAAAACCACGCCCCCCTCACCACAGTATACCATATGATTTGTTTTTTGCCTCATGCTTCTCTCTCTCTGGTCTGTAGGTGCTGTTTGATCACATGGGCTGTATGAAGCGCTATGAGTCTGTGCAGGATATCCTGAAGGAGTTCTTTGAGCTGCGCTTGCACTATTATAAACTGAGGAAGGACTGGCTGGTGGGCAGTCTGGGCGCTGAGTCGGCCAAACTCTCCAACCAGGCACGATTTGTGCTTGAGAAGATTGAGGGAAAACTATCAATCGGTGAGATATTTATCCAAATGTCTGTCAGATTTTAAAATCATTTTTGGCCTGCATTCTCTTCTGAAATATGTGATGCGATCTGGGAAAACCTGTCGGATGTCGCGCTGGTATGTTTTCAGTAAGGTTTAAATATAGATTGAATGTCAGTTTTTTGTCAAAATTGGGTTTTTATTAAAGGGTACATATCATGCTTTTAAATCATTCATTTTTACTTATAAATCAAACATTTGTGGTCTATATAAAGCATAACTGCAATGCTTGGGTCTGAATTCCTCATTATTATAGCTCAACAGGCCCCTTTTCTACCCCTTTTCTGATGTGCTTCTGTGAGCAAGTCGTTTCGAAGCGGCCCCTTTAAAAAAAAAGGAGTTGCGTCTTTCCCCGCCCGCTTTCCAGGTCGTTGAGTTCACGGTCGGTTCAACTCCCCGCGTTCGGCCATTATTGTAGTTTGATAAGAGATATACGATTACTATAGCTTCAAAGCACATTTTTATTCACACGTTAACAAAATGTCAACAACGGAAGACTTGTCCATCAAGCCTTATATATTTGAGCCAGAGCGAGCGAGTTGAAAAAGACGACGACGAACCTGCAGAACAACGTCTTCATATGGATGCAGTGGTATGTAAGTTAACTATGTTGTGTTATCAGTGAAAGTCGACTATTTCTCTTGTTAAAGATAAATGACTGCGGTCTGATCTTACCACTAAAAACCTGTATTGATAATAATATGATAACTTACGTTTAGAAAGCGTCAGAAAACACAGCAGCTAAATGATAGAAGGAATTTACCCCTCATTCAGACGAAGTCGATCGGCAAACCCTTCTGTATACTGGCGGAGGTTGTTGAAGTGGGGATCCTTGTGAAGTGCTTCAGGTCACTACATCCAACAAACGAACATTTTGACTAGCCCTCTCGTAACTTTTGCATCATTGAGCTTGGACTACAAAATCGGAATGAGAAAATAATAATGGCGGATTGCTCGAAGTGTTGGACCGGTAGTCAATGTCCTTATTTGTCAGATGGCTGTCGTGTCGATGAGGCTGGCACTTAAGGATTAGTCGGGATGGGTCCAGGCGCAGGTCCACCATAGAGGGTTCCTCAGGATAAACAGAGAAACTGATATTAGCGTAGACGCCATCCTTCTTTTGATGTACCAAAAGTACATCAGGATTTACGGGACGTGTTCCCAGTTCCGGCTGATCTAAACTATGCAGCCTAATTTGAATTTAGGAAGTCTATAGTGTGTTATTATGTGTATGCTAGGACAAAGAGATGTGTTTTTAGTCTAGATTTGAACTGACAGATTGTGTCTGCTTCCCGGATAATGTTAGGAAGATTGTTCCAGAGTTTTGGTGCTAAATAGGAAAAGGATCTACCGCTTGCAGTCGATTTTGATATTCTAGGTATTATCAACTAGGGTGACCACCCGTCCTGCGTAGCGCGTGCACGCACAGTGTTTGAAGCCCAATTCATGCGTCCCGCAAATTGGGACCGTGTCACGCATAATCAATGCTTGCTCAAAAAAAAAAAAAATCCTCTAGACCTGCCAAACGTTGTGCATGAACACGTTCACTTTCATGAACTCGTTCATATTTTGGGTGAACTGAACGTATTATTTTACTGCCTGTCCTGATGAACGTTACTGTGAACTCGTTCATTCTGGTGTCTGTGAATGCACGCTCTCTCAGTTTAACTTCGTTCAATAGGGTGCCAGATTTCTATAGAGCCTTCCAGGCGAAAACCCGGCTAAAACTCATCGTAAACAGGGCTTAATATGTAGCGAAAAAACACCGAATCTGGCAACACAAGCCACCAGTGTCGCACCGCGGCCGCCGTCGACAAAGGCATCGTATGATAATTTAAACGGATTTTATAACGAGCTTGGTGAGGATGGGAAAAATCTTACATTTCTGTGCAAACTTTGAACTGAATTAGTTCATTTTAAAATGTGAAAGTGAACTTTCCCCAACACTGCTTGCCACTCCCACGTGACCTGCTGACTAGGTTGTTGGTTGTTGTCAACATTTTCATTGTTGTCATGACAGCGCACCTTCTTGTTCCGTGAACCTCTGGAGTTGTGAGTTTAGACTCTTTTTTTTTTCGACTTTTTTTTTTTAACTGTTCCTGTGGTGTTGAGCAACTACATAATTCCTGTTAATCCTATAATTTTATATTATTATTTATTTAAAGTGAATAAATTGTAATGAAAAATAAATGAAATTAAATAGCTAAAGTAAATCGTAAGTGGAAGTGCATCTGCAATTCATTGAACGTTCAAAATATTAATCTTTATTTAGAAAAAAAATACACATTGGTTGGCCTATTCATGAGCATATATCAGCAATTACAAAGGTGGTATGTGCTAGAAATGGGTAAACCACTATGAGTCTGCCCGTGGGGTGGGGGCACTGCCGCGCCAAACAGTGTCCCACATTGTCCCTCAGAAACATACCCCTTGTCCCCTCTTGGGCTTATTAGCATGTGGTCACCCTATTATCAACTGGCCGGAGTTTTGAGATCGCAATAGACGTGAAGGACTATAATGCGTTAAGAGCTCGCTCAAGTACTGCGGAGCTAAACCATTTAGTGCTTTATAAGTAATTAGCAATATTTTAAAATGTATACAATGTTTAATAGGCAGCCAATGCAGGGTTGACAGAACCGGGCTAATATGGTCATACTTCCTGGTTCTGGTAAGAACTCGAGCGGCTGCGTTTTGGACTATCTGAAGTTTGTTTATTAAACGTGCAGGGCAACCACCCAATAGAGCATTACAATAATCTAGCCTTGATGTCATGAACGCATGAACTAATTGTTCCGCATTTGTCAATGAGAGCATTTGGCATAATTTAGATATATTTTTAAGATGGAAAAATGTGGTTCTACAGATACTAGACACATGACTTTCAAATGAGAGATTAGTATCAAAGAGCACACCCAGGTTCTTAACCGACGACGAAGACTTAACAGAGCAGCCATCAAGTGTTAGACAGTATTCTAGGCTGTTACGTGTGGAAGTTTTTTGTCCAATAATTAAAATCTCTGTTTTTTCAAAATTTAGTAGTAGGAAATTACTAGTCATCCAATTTTTTATATCAGCAATGCATTCCGTTAATTTTGTGAGTTGGTAAGTTTCGTTAGGTTTTGAAGAAATATACAGCTGGGTATCATCAGCATAACAGTGAAAGCTAATTCCATCTTTCCTAATGATATCTCCTAATGGTAGCATGTACAGAGTGAATAGCAGCCGTCCTAGTACTGAGCCTTGTGGTACGCCATACTGAACTTGTGATCGATAAGACATCTTCATTTAGTGCTACAATATGATATAGGTCAGATAAATATGATTTAAACCATGCTAATGCAATTCCACAAATGCTAACATAGTTTTCTAGTTTATTTAAAAGAATGTTGTGGTCAGTTGTGTCAAATGCAGCACTAAGATCGAGTAACACTAATAGAGAGATACAACCATGATCGAAAATTCTTCCTCTCCTATAGCAGCAAATGCTATAGCAGCAAAGCAGCAATTCTTTCCTCAGGGAGACAACAATGCACCCCCTGATGCGATACTGTAGTAGACAGTTGCATAGTTTTAATTTTGTCCCTGATATTATCAATCTTATAAGTGAAGAAATTCATAAAGTCATTACTGCTGTGTTGCTTGGACACTTCTGGGCTTGAAGCTTTCTTTTTCGTTAGTTTAGCCACTGTTTATAGGGCTGCAACGATTATCTCTTTATTAGATCATGCAATACTATTAATAGTAATAATATCATCAATAATAATATAATTAATGTGATGATTTATTTTGCATAGAATAAAGCTTGATTGAGCTTAGGAGTCAGGGCTGTTTTTATTATTGTAACACTATTTGGTATTATAGTCTTATTACTTGCCTGTATTTTGTTCCATAATCATGAAGACTTACAAAAGGAGGTGTTAGGAATAATATCATGGCAGTTACTTTTTATTTTTCATTCTGTAATTAAAAGGTGAATGAGTACAGTACATCTCTGTCAGATCAATTATCATGTAAAAAACTATTGTAATTTTATATCTAATAATGGTTTGCAGATTAATATTTTACCCTTTTTGTGTCCTGAAGTAATGACCCTTTTTCTGTTTCAGTTCTATGAAAAGCAGCGGGCTTATTAAACAATGCTTAGAGAGCATTTGTGTGTGATTTGAGTTAAACTTAAAGAGAATGACCTGTTTAGTTGGCTCTAAGTTAATTAAAACCACTATTTCAAAAACTGAACTGATTTTCTTTTTTTATATTATAGTAAGAATATGTATAACTCAATATTTTAACTAATTGAAAAAGATGAATAACCTTTCCAGACTTACTGATAAGCCAGCAAAATAATCGACGATTAGTCGATTAATCATTCTAATAATCGTTAGATTAATCGATTATCAAAATAATCGTTTGTTGCAGCCCTAGTTACAAATAAATACCTAGGATTATGTTTATTTTCTTCTAATAGGTTTGAAAAATAAGGAGACCTAGCCGTTTTAATGCCTCTCTGTATGCAATCAAGCTCTCCTTCCATGAGATCCGGAATACCTCTAGTTTAGTTTTCTTCCAGCTAAGCTCCATTTTTCTGGCTGCTCTCTTAAGGGCCCGAGTGTGCTCGTTCTACCACGGCATTGGACTATTTTCTTTAATCTTCTTTAACCCCCTGGGGACCAATAACGCGTCCCCGCGTTTTGATCTTTTTTTCCACATAGCTGCAACATAGACTTAAAATACGTCATTAATGGTCATATAAATAAAACCAATACATGGTTATAAACTAAAGAGGGTCTTCTTTTTGCGTACACTCTTTGTAATATCAAAACCTTGTGTTTTTGTAAAATAAATAAATTAAACAGGGTGCGCTTTCAGCTCACTCTGTCTCCGCAAAAAAAATTCTGAAACGTGTCCGAAAAATTAGCTGTAACTCATTAAATACTTGTCACAGACACACGAAAGATCTCTCTTTATGAAGCTGAGATTCTCTTCTTTTAAATGAAGTCATTTATATAAAAAAGCAACTATTCTCAGTTGATGTAATCTGACCAACTGCAGCAAGGAGCAATTGAAGACATTTAAAGATGAATTTGGCAAAATGGCTGAAAAATCACATACAATTAACTAAAAATGTGATTGAATGGAATATCACTTTCGACTAATAGGTGGCTTAGTTACAAAATAGACCTTTTTTTTAACCTTCAGACCAGTTGCATTAAAATACGCAGATTTATTCAAAACATTATAAGCATTATTAGAAATTTTGTTATAACTTGGACCAAAAGGTGGTGCTGTCTTGAAATCTTTTGAGTACCTTCAGGGGATGGTGCTGATGGCACAAACTGAGTTTCGTAATGTTACACCCATGCATTCGTTAAGTAAAGCATGTTTAGCAGTATAGCATTTTTTTTATGTGTCCTCTGAGTGAGCTCATACATCTGTGTGCCAATTTTGGTGGAAATATCTCAATTTGTTTCGGAGTTATAGACATTTATGTGAAAAAACACGTAAAAAATGACTGACACGTGACTTTGATTGAGTTTTACTACACCTTACTATCAGTATTTTTGCATTTGGGCATTAGCATGTAGCCAGCAACCTATGTTTTCAATTTTCTGAAGGTGGTTTCTTCTCGATCGGACTAGCGGTTTCGAAGATATCACCAAATGTTTTTTTCACGCTAAATCACAACGCTACACAAAGCGTAAGACAAAATCCAGCATATGTGAAAATAACTCAACCACAGCCAGAGTTATAAGCGTTTGAAAATTTTGATTAACCACTAGGTGGTGCTGTTTTGAAACTTCTTAGGCTCCTTCAGGGCATCGTACTGATGACCCATACCGAGTTTTGTAACAATTCGTTCATGCGTTCAAGAAATACAGCATTTTAGCACATAATTAAAAAATGGCCGATCTGGGAAAATTGGACATATCCAATTTTTACATATCTCACGACCCGTAGGTAGCGCTGTTCCCAACTTTGGCATGGGACCTCAAAACATGGTTCTGATGAAGTGCACCAATTTTTGTTTCAATTGATCAAACTTTGGCCGAGATACAGCCTCTTAGCCAATTTTAGGTGGGCCTCGTTAAGTTTGCGACACCATAACTTTTGAACAAAGATGAATAAAAAAAATCGGGAACAGTACTTTTATGCGGCTCAGTCTGAAGATCATTTGAGTGCATGTTTGGAGAAAATTGGACAAAATTTGAAGGAGGAGTAGCGAAAAAACTACAGTATTGTAGTCGTAATGTACAGTATTGGTTGTGATCAGCATGAGGAGTAGAGTGGAATCAGGTGTACTGTTTCATGTCTCTAGAGCAAAGGGTTCAAAAGTTATAACCATTTCAATATTGAATTTTTGAATTGGTGGTGGCGCTATAGAGTTGGTCCTAGAGAGTCAAAAATTGGTCCAATTACTACTCATTAGCATCACTACAAGTGTGCCAAATTTCATCATTGTCCTACTTACGGTTCATAGGGCTGCCATAGACTGCCATCCATTTGCGGAATAATAATAATAACAATAATAATAATAAGAAGAAAACCAACAGATACCATAGGCCCCTAATTAAATTATAAATTATTGTCATGTGCTCTGTGTGTTTTAATAATTTGTATTATTTTTTTACCAGAGAACAAGTCAAAAAGAGATTTGATCCGAATGCTGGTGCAAAAAGGATTTGAATCTGACCCCGTGGCTGCCTGGAACAAAGCCCAGGAGAAGGTATGTGAGGAAACATATATGATGGATACAGCGATGTGTTTATATGCATCTGTTGGAAGACAAAAACCTTCGCGGGACAGAGGATTTTTTTTAACTGCTCGTGCCGCCCCCCCATGTGACATGAAGAGATGCCGCCCCGGGCGACTGCCCGGTTCGCCCGTGCCTAGAACCGCTACTGCGTGCATCATCTGCTCCTCAGAGTTCTCTGCCGAAAAAGGAAACTTGTCGGCAGCGCGAGATATTTGGCAGCGAACGCAGCGTCTCGTTCTCTATTCAGAGAATACAGAGACGTTCTCTTTCATATACTCAAAGCTGCGTATAAGACGCAGTTGGAACGAAATATCAAACTGGCTAAGAGCTTAACTAGTAAATGACAAGATAACTTAGCCTACATTACTAGTTAAAGCAGACAAAACATGGAAACCTGCCATGTCGATATTATATTACCCTGGTAGTAATCTCTATTAATCTCCAGTATAATTACAGTTTGATATAATATTGTTCTATTTGATATTATGTAAATATGAACTTTTATTTTATATTGGTTTATTTATTATTACCATATGTTACTTGTATTTATATTGTAATTTAATATTGTGTCCAGTTTGGCCCTGTATAATAAAGGGGTATTATTTTTTTTTTGACAAAGTGTGTGCAGTTTCGTTTTCATAAGTACCGTTTCAAGAACCGTTTAGGCAACCGTTTAAAAAATACCGAGTAGGTACTGGTATCGGATAAAACCCAACCGATACCCAACCCTATAGTTCAGTTAAACTTTTTACTCACTGTTCATATGTCACTGTTTCTGTTTGTTTGCTCGGATGATGATGCTGTTAGTCTTTGGAGGATGAGGATGGTGAAGGTAATGACAGTGACATCTCAGTGGACTCTGGCTCCACCTCTGGGCCAAATTTTAACTACATTCTGAACATGCCTCTGTGGTGTCTGACCAAGGAGAAGGTTGAGGAACTCCTCAAGCAGAAAGACCTGAAGGTATTACTCCTACAGTAATCCGTGTTACATTCAATGATTCATATCAGTTTTTATACACTTAATTTATAGGACCGTTATTACAATTATATTACATTGTTACTGTAATGTTATATCATGTGTGAAGCAATCTTGGAACCTTCTTTTCAAATGAGTCACCCAAAAATGTAAATTCTGTCATTATTTATTTTGTTATAAGGATAAACAATATAGGGACAAACTTTTGTGATGATGCAATAAGGAACATCACGTGAGCATTACAAAGACAGAAACGATAATTCAATATTTATAACGGTTGCCAAATTTGTTTACTGGTATATTGTCCACTTCTATTCCTGGTCTTCTAAAGTCATCTAATAGCTTTTTGTGAGGAAAAGACCGAATGTTGTTATTCACTGAAAATTGGGTGTAGGGTGAACTATTAATTTGACTAATAACAGCAGCAGGTTGAAACCTTCGCTGTTAACTTTGAGAGTGTGCTCTTTCATTTGTTGTATAGAAAGCAGAGCTGAATGAACTCCAGAACAAAAATGCAGAAGATCTGTGGAGGGAAGATCTGTCTGTTTTCATTGAGGAGCTGGACGTGAGTCTCATTTATAGATGTTAGCTAAAGGATTGGTTTGAATCATGATGAGTGTGATAAAGTATTTGAGAGTTTTGTCTTTTTTTCCAGCGTATAGAGGGGCAGGAGAGGGAGAGTGTGAACTCTGGGAAGGCCACGAAGCTGGTGAAAGGGAAGGTGGGCAAACCTAAAGTGAAGAAGATGCACCTGGAAGAAACTCTGCCCTCTCCCTTTGGTCGCAGGATAGAGCCACAGGTCACACAGGCTATGAAGGCTGATGCCTCCAAGAAACTCACCAAAAAAAAGAAGGTATGGGTGTGTGTGTGTGTGTGTGTCTGTGGGAAGCTGAAATGTGATATATTTACTTTGAACATTAATATGTCATGTATTAAATATATTACAGGAGCTGGAGAATCATTAACCATTAATCATTAATTTCTTTATTAAAGCATTAGTTCACCCAAAAATTCAACATTTTAATGAACAGCGATTTTTTTATTACGAGGCTATTTCAGTTTTTGCATTTATATTTATTGAAACTATAGTTATTTTTTACTGTGATAGTGAGGAGCCATGCATGATTTTACATGTGGTTACCATCATCATACAAATATATGATATTGTGGAAGAACAATGGTAAATTTTAACGAGCAAGTACAAAGTAGAATCAAGGGCTGTAGAGTCTAACCCAGGTATTGGGAACCTTTTTTGACCAAAGAGACATTTTTTTATGTTTATTTTTGGCTAATGCATTTTCCTAAAAGAGCCACACCAAAAAATAATATAATATTATGGAGTGCAATAAATGAGGAGACAAGAGATGGAGATGCGTTGAGTCAGCTTTACTCTCCTCTTGAATATATCAGAACTGAACAGCAGTGAGATCGACACAACAACACAACGTTAACCGGAACTCGTATATTCTCTTCCCTTAAAGGTATAGCTCCTTAGTGAATGTCTCTTATTTGTGGGTCACCATAATATTATACAAGAAAAATATATATTTTTCAATAATAGTAACTTAGGTCCATAGCTAACTTCAAACAGTCCTGCCCACTGAAAGCTGCACGCATATCATACGGACATATGTATATGTATCATACAACACATTTATACGACATAAAATGTCTCTCTAAATCCAATCACTTTTTAATATACTTTTCAATTTTAGCTGTTTCAAAAACATTTTCTTTTCACCACAAACTACCACAAACAAATTATGTAGGTGCTTGAATCTGAGTTCAGGAGCTTTAGGTTACCACAGAAATGCAAGTGGTTTGCCACATGATGCCATGAGCCTGAGGTGGTTTGCGAGCCATTTAGGTTTCCAACCGCTGGTCTAACTTGTCCTCGTTTCAGAACCTTTGCATTTTTTCACCTATATAAAAGAGTGTTGTTGTTTTTTTACACTTAGAGATGTTATTGTTCTTTATGTAAGTAAATTTATGTCTGCATCCCATCTCAAACTCAGTGCTTTACAGTCAAATATCTTTTTCAACTAGAAATATTATGTAATATTATTAGTAACTGCACTTATTTGTGAAAAATACAATGTTAATATTGTGATTATTAGTTTATGTAATTGTCTAGAGCAGGGGTGGGCAACTTGGGTCCTGGAGAGCCTATGTCCCTGCAGTGTTTAGCTCCAAACCTGATAAAAACTCACCTTTCCAAACAGATGGAAATGGACAAATTCTCTTAAAGGAACACTCCGACTTTTTGGGACTTTAGCCTATTCACCTTACCCCCCAGAGTTAGATAAGTCCATACATACCTTTTTCATCTCCGTGCGTGCTATAAGTCTGTTTGACGCACCCACCGCTAGCCTAGCTTAGCACAAAGACTGGATGTGAATGGTTGCAGCTTTCATACTAATCCAAATGAGTGACAAAATAACGCAAACGTTTTCCTATTTACATGTTGTGGTTTGTATAGTCACAGACTGTACAAATAAGAAGGCCATATGAGACACAGACATCTTTTAACCGTATAAATACTATATTTTCTGAAGGCGAAGCACTGCTACTTGGGCAGAGTGATAACAATCACCTGAGACGCACCGTGACGAGGAGCAGAGAGTTCGCTCAGTGTTGGAATAAAGAGTCAGCAATTACTAACGTTAGATAGAAAAGCATAGTTTATCACGGGTGTTTGCTTTATTGTATGAGCTGTGACAATAAACAGGGGAGACCAGGTAATACACTACCATGTTTCATTGATTTCCAACCAAAAACGCACCCAGATTTATAAATATCACATGAATAAATAATTATTATTACAGGAATCAATATATTTTAAATGCAATTTATTAGCTGAACCAAATGTATTCAACAGTATATAATGTACAGTAAAATTGCATTACTATAGGATAGAATAAGGGGAAAGTAATAGCACAAATTGTTTTTGCACAATGAACTCACAGCCTATCGTACCCTTTTGCACGCTCAAGTTCGTTATTTCCATGGTTATTTCAAATTTAGGCTACTAGGCGCGTCGCGCGCAGGGTGCAAGTTCATGCGCTGAACACGCTCGTTTTTTTCCAAGCGCGTCCGCACCGCATCAAGATAAAAACATATTCATACCCTAATCATATAATAGTGTCACTAACGTTACATTAGCTCTGGCTAATGGCACTGTTACAGTAGGTCATCTAAAAACATAACGGAACACTTACCTCAGCCGCAGGTGATCCACTTGTCCTGTCTGTGCTATCGATGGGATAACTTAGCCGTATCCTTCAGCACATTATGGTCCGTGTGGCAAATTCCATTTTTTCAAAATAGTCGTCCATTGAAATGTACCGAGCAAACATAATGTCCCTTGATAATCTATTTAGGTGTGTTTGGATCAATATCCAGAGTAAGTTAGCCATTTCTTCATCCAGTCAGCGTTTTTAGTTGGAATTCTGTGAAACATGGTATTACCTCCCCTGTTTACTGTCGCAGCTATTTACAATAGAGCGAAAACCCATGACTGTAAACTACGCTTTTCCTATTTATAAATTGCTGACTCTGTTACCCAAACACTGAGCGAACTCTCCGCTCCTCACCACAGCGTGTCTCCGGTGATGCGGTTATCACTCCGCCAAAGTAGCAGTGCTTCGCCTTCAGAGAATAGTTCCCAGGTTTTATACGGTTAAAAGATATCTGTGTCTCATTTGACTTTGTTATTTGTACATTCTGTGACTATACAAATCACAACATGTAAATAGGAAAACAATTGCGTTATTTTGTCACTCATTTGGATTACTATGAAAGTGCAACCATTCACATCCAGACTTTGTGCTAAGCTAGGCTAGCGGTGGGTGCGTCAAACAGACTTATAGCACGCACGGAGATGAAAAAGGTATGTATGGACTTATCTAACTCTGGGGGGTAAGGTGAATAGGCTAAAGTCCCAAAAAGTCGGAGTGTTCCTTTAATGTTTCGATCCAATTTGTTTTGTAATCACTGTTCCTTCGTTGGCCAGAGGAGAACTGGCCCCCGACTGAGCCTGGGTTCTCCCAAGGTTTTTTTTCTCCATTCAATCACCTGTTGGAGTTTTGGTTCCTTGCCACTGTTGCCTTGGCTTTTGGCTTGCTTAGTTGGGGACATTTAATATTGAACAGTTTTATTGATCTGTGTTGTATTATTTTCATGTTATCACTGTGAAAATCTGACTTGACTTGACTTGACCTGCCTGTAGCATTCTAGTAATCCGACAGTGGCCCTCCAGCCATGATGTTACCCTATCCTGGTCTAGAGCCATCAATTATACCTAGATAGGCTGAAGCATCACTAATAAATGTCAAGCCTGACATTGTGTGTTTATGTATAATGATGTCTGTGTTGGTGTCAGAGTGAGGTAGATCCAGCCTTCAAGTTGGAGTTTGATGAGGACAGCGTGCTGGGCTCCAATGGAGGAGAGAATTCCCTCATTTCTCCATCCGGCCTTCCCATCCCAGGAGCCAAACCCAAAGCTCCGCGGGTCAAGCGAGAGAAGAAAGAACCTGGTAACAATAATTATTGGCACTGTACTTAACTTCAGTTTACTTTCAAAAGCATTTTTATTTTAATTTATATATATATATATATATATATATATATATATATATATATTTCTTATCTTCAGGTGCTCCGAAACAAAGGAAGCCATCAGGTGCTAAAGGTCCAGCTAAGAAAGTTAAAAAAAGGAATCCATTGTCAGATGATGAATGTAATGATCGTTCCGAAAATGAGCTGGATGAAAGTGAACCTGTTATTCCCAGGGACACCACATCCAGGAGAGCCTCAGGTGTGTGTGCTTCCATTAATACCTTTTTTAAATTGTTTTAATCATTTAAACCAGCCCTGAGTGGTTGTGATCGTGATCGTAAATGCGGTGTTATTTACATTTGAGTCTGGTAAAAAAAAAAAAAAACATTTAAATCTATGGAAGAAATAATTGACAAAAATGCTGCAGAGGTGGTAACAAAAACATTTTTAATTTGAATCTCCAACAAAAGTAACGTATTGGCAGAATAATTATTGGCACTGTACTTAACTTCAGTTTACTTTCAAAAGCGTTTTTATTTTAATTTATATATTTCTTATCTTCAGGTGCTCCGAAACAAAGGAAGCCATCAGGTGCTAAAGGTCCAGCTAAGAAAGTTAAAAAAAGGAATCCATGGTCAGATGATGAATGTGATGATGATCGTTCCGAAAATGAGCTGGATGAAAGTGAACCTGTTATTCCCAGGGACACCACATCCAGGAGAGCCTCAGGTGTGTGTGCTTCCATTAATACCTTTTTTAAATTGTTTTAATCATTTAAACCAGGCCTGAGTGGTTGTGATCGTGATCATAAATGCGGTGTTATTTACACGTGAGTCTGGTAAAAAAACAAAAAAAACAAAAACATTTAAATCTATGGAAGAAATAATTGACAAAAATGCTGCAGAAGTGGTAACAAAAACATTTTTAATTATTTGAATTTCCAACAAAAGTAACGTATTTATACTGTGTTTAATTGACTCATGAAAACATGACATTTTAGACAGCCTGAAATGTTCTATTGTGTTGTTTCACAGCTGTGAAGGCCAAGTACACATTTGACTTCTCTGAGGAAGAGGAGGGTGGTGACGAGGAACAGGAGAATGATGGTTCAGCATCACCAGTTCTCTCCTATAAAAACACAGAGCGGCAAAATGATGATGAAGAAGATGATGGAGACATTTTTCCTCCAAAAACAACATTTACTTTGTAAGTTCTGTCTATATATTCACATTTGGAATGAATCTCACAAAGCCTGTCACAAGCAGTTTAAGTTTTACAATAACCTAACAAGAATCTGAAAATAATGCCAACTTTTTGTGAGGTCCACCCATTTAATAAAATAATGTAGTATACTTTTATTATTATTCTCAAAGTAACAATCAAATATGGATTCCAACCCTTTGTATATTTTAATTAAATTATTTTCAGGCCTACTTCCCCAGCGAAGAAAAGGGACCCAGTGCCTGTATTGTCATCTAAAACGGAGTATGCTGACAAGAGCAGTGATGACGGTATGTGTGTGTTTATTGGTGGTTTATCGTGTTAATAATGAACATGTGTTAATAATGTTTATTTATTCTTCAGATGGGAAGTCAGACAGTGATGATGACAGGGGTCCAGTGTTCTCATCAATTTCCAACAGTTCTGTTTTTGAGAAACCTCCACCTAAAAAAGGTACCTGACCAACCTGACCAGTAGGGCTATTGGAACGAATTCCGAAATTCGAATATAATTCGAATATTTAAAAAATCAATACTATTCGAATGCTGAAGTTACTATTCAAATATTGCTTTTATATATATTTAATATATATATATATATTTATATATATTTAAAAAAATATATATATGCAATATCGTCTTTCTCGCGGCTTACACGCATGTGAAAATGAAATGCTTTTGTTCCGTCTAATGAACAATAAAGTTTTTGAATCAATTGTGCACGTTATCCAAGCTGTAGGCTATGATCGGGGTTTCCCATACAGAAGCCGTTTCTCAATATGCGTACTTGTCTGTACTTGTGTTCTTGTGGACTTGTGAAACGTCATCAGTCGCTGCCGAAGTACTGTTCCAATTCAAAGTTCACATCTAGCCAAGTCCACTTCAAATCCCCGGATGTGTTCTTGATCCGCCCCATTTACCGAGGATGCATCGAGAGGTGACTTGTGTGGACTTGAGATAGCCAGGTAACCCAGAATGCACCTCGCACCAACCAGCTAAGCGTCAATAGGAGAATAGAAAATCCGCGAAATATCAAAATACTACTGTTATTGAAATGTAATTTGTAATTTACATTTGTAATTTGAAATGTAATTTTAAGAGTGTTTCAGGCGAGAATGTGGTTGTTTAAATCTCAAATCTGTAGTTTATTTATAAAGATAGCGCCTATCTGAAAAATGCATCTGACGTTTTCGGAGTTCTGACATCCAAGCCTTTAGCGGACACTCAGCGAGATCAACCCCGGCTGGAACAGCTTATCCTCGGCTAGTGCTTCTGACGTTTGCCGCCGGCTCTGATCTCTCTAGTCTAGTGGATAAACCTTGACGTATAATTCGTCTTGTGTATAAGTCTATATTTGGTCTCATTAAACTGTAGTTTGTTCCATGGCGCAAAAAAAAAAAAAAAAAACGTTTTTTGAGGTTTCATGGCTATTTAACTTCAACAACATTTTTTTTATATTATCTTCACTATATGAACAATAAAATGACATAACCCTGTCTCTGTTTGATAAATGTCAATAAAAATCAATGTTTCATATTTTTAAAATGAAAACAAAAAGATCATGTTCATTTTGTTATAAATATATGCAGTGAAGAGAATCGCGTTGCCTGAAGCACATGGCCATTAGGCTAATAGGCTATGTTGTTTTTTGTTAATGAAAAGAGTCAGAGGGGTGTTTTATAACATGTTTTATAACAGTTGTAGCAAATTTCGTTTTATTGTTGCCTAAAATATAGAGTAGAGCGTACGGTGGCCGAGAGGTGCAAAACAAATCTTATAAAAACAAAAAAACAAGTCAGAAAACACAACGACAATTCAGAAAACAAAATAACAATTCAGAAAACACAACAACAAATCTGAAAACAAATTAACAAGTCAGAAAACACAACGACAAATCTGAAAACAAATTAACAAGTCAAAAAACACAACGACAAGTCAGACAAAACGGAAAAGGTAGGTATATGTGGCGAATGGAATACTGATCGCTGATTGGACAAGACATCTGTCAATCAAGACATACAGAAAGTACAGCAGACTGCGCCTGCGACAGAAGACAGATTGATTCGCATATGCATGTGTAAATATTATTAGAGCTGTCTATTTAGCCGGCTAATTTAGTGATACTATGGAGAACAAAACATTTCAAATTAAAATCTTCCCGACTCGATAACTCGAGCTGGTAAAGTGGGAGAGTGGCGTGTTGGAAGAACAGCTGATTTAGCTTTTGACGCGAACGACCTGAGTTCGAGTCTCCCTGGAGCGTCAAATTGTAATTCACAATTTTAACTTCTTGTTTATTGATCTGTATAAAACCACATGTAGAAAAGCAAAAGCTCATGCAGGGGCATTGCCCCTATATTTGGAATTTTTAGGGCATTATAACTGCATTCCAATAGTGTTCATGTTTGTTTTTTGCAAAGTGAGGGACTCGATAATGTCAGCTCGCAGCCTCGCACATAATTAAAAAAAATATCGTAGAGGGCTATTCAATTAGCTTCATCGAGGGCCGCTGTAGACTTGGAATTAAAACATCTTGTGTTTCCCCGTTATTATTCAATTTACGGGACCGGGCACCAGTTATCTTGCCAAGAAAGTTTTATATATTATATATATGTCAGGAGAGAAACTTCAAGATGTTGTGTTCATGCCAGGTCTATGCGTTTCTCCATGTTTCTCTACCCTCTCACCCGGTCATGCCTACATGTTTCTCTACCCTCTCACCCGGTCATGCCTAAATGTTTCTCTGAGGGCGATACAATGACATTGAGCTTTTATACATCACACAGTCTTACAGCTTCCTTGTAAGGTAACAAACATGTTGCGTTGAGCTTCTCAACTTAGAACGTATATGTCATACGTACGCGACTTTCCTTGTTGTCTACATCTGTGATACACTTGCATCAGTGGAAACATTTATGCTGAGTGAACATGTTACATGGCACACATACCTCTCTAAGCAATATATAGCTTTCCCCTGACATATGTTCCTCTCATGCATTCAAACTCATGCTTTTGAAACTCCATAAAATAATACATTGATTATGAAAACTAATAAAGAATAATAATACAGATACATAATATTTAATAATGAAATAATATTAAAAGATGAAATTTTAGTCTTCAGCCGCATTATTAAATCGAAAAGTTGAGCTGGGCCGGTGGGTTTGGCTTATTTATTGACACATAACAGTATCAATAATTAACCTAAAGTAAACAAAAAAAAAAAGGTTTTGCATTTACTAGGAAATGTGGTAACCAACAGTGTGCAGACCATAATAAATAACTTTTTTACAGCTATATACAAATATATTGAATTATAGAATATCATAGCTATTGGTAAGAATTATTTTATTAATAATTATTATAGGCTTAAATTAAAATATCCTGACAGTGAGACTTGTGGCTCACTACCACTGTATAAAAAAATGCCTGAACAGGTAAACAATACACAATGAATTATACTATATTAATGACTATAACATGGTATTCAATATAAATATTCCACATTTCTGCCCAAACCATGGTAAATTATTACATTCATGGTAAATGTTTGTAAGGGTGGTGATTAGGGCATTTATAGTATTCTAACTTTGTTCATGTTTCTGCTATTTACCTCATCAGTAGTGTTGGGAATGTTAAGGCTGTTTCATCCGATTTAAAACTAGTTAAAATCATTGAGTGATGTGTGGTTTGTAAAGCCGCCTTTCCACTGCGCACGACAAACGACCGCCGTCGGACCGGAAGTCATTCATTTCCAATGGAGAGTCGTACGGGAGCTGCGGGGAGTTCTGATCATATGCGTGTGTGGAAAATTCGGATCCGATTTGAGCTTTGGATCCGTTGAAATATCTGAACTTCTGCGGCTAGACCGTATGCGACCGGCCAACCGGAAGTGATGTATTCTAATAAAAACTATGCGAGGCTAGAATTACAAATATTTTAACTCTTTAATGTTTTTCTGTAAACACTCTTTCTGTAAAATATTGGTTATAATTGACTATAGCAAAATATAAATAAATATAAAAAAATATTTCATAATTATTAAATCAATATATTAATTAGCTCTATAAAATGTACTATGTTTTTATTTGAGATGTATTGAGGGTCATTTGTTATGTGTAGATATTTATGCATGCATTACATTCATTAAAATCATTAATTTTACCATTGTGAATATCCGAGGGTAACGGTTGCTTCACGACCAATTTCAAAGTTCCGTGCAACTGACACCAGGAGGCGAAATACGACAATCGTATGCGAATGCCGTGTGCAGTGGAAAGGCGGCTTAAGAGAGAGGAGTGTCCGATTGAAACGCTTCTCAATGGATGTCGCAACGCTGTTTATAATAGTGTCCGGGACCGGAAGTAAACGCAACTCCTTTAAGCTTGCGTTCCGTTATCCACTGGACCGCTCTGCCTAGTTCAAAGTAAACTAGTGAAACAACTGAAACCAGCGCTATTTTGTTCTCTATTTGTTCTTACTGACGAGAAACCGCTTCAGATGATTCAGTAACAGAATGGTCCGAACGAATCCGAATCGTTTCCGACTGTTTTGCACGCGCGTTTGGCCAATTCGTGAAAAGGAGATAGGAATCGAACCAACGAATGATTAATATCGCTGGTTCAGTCGACAGAAATACGGGACACACATAATAACTGCTGAAATATTCGTTTGGACTGAAATTCGACTGAAAACGTTTTTCTCAGGTCAGTCGGAGCGCTCGTGGTACACACACAGTGCGTAGCCTATAGTCATCCAGCTGCACGCGCCACTGCGGCCACGCGCATATCAAACCAAATTTAGCCGCACCACCAGAAAATAGGAGGGGAAGGTTGGAGTGCTCTCGGGCCGCATGGAGATGATTGGCGGGTCGCACTTGGTCCGCGGGCCGCCACTGAATAGCCCTAGACGATACAGCTAATATTTAAACATGCACACGCGAATCGATCTTTCTTCTGCCTGTATGTCTTGATTGACAGATGTCTCGTCCAATCAGCGATCAGTATTCCATTCGCCACATATGCCTACCTTTTCCGTTTTGTCTGACTTGTCGTTGTGTTTTCTGACTTGTTAATTTGTTTTCAGATTTGTTTTTGTTTTTTCTGATTTGTTAATTTGTTTTCAGATTTGTTGTTGTGTTTTCTGAATTGTTATTTTGTTTTCTGAATTTTTGTTGTGTTTTCTGACTTGTTTTTTTGTTTTTATAATTGTGATTTTTTTTGCACCTCTCGGCCACCGTAAGAGCGTGCTGACCCAGACAGCAAACTGACATTGAATCAACGTGGAAACGACGTCTCTCATGACATTGAAACAACGTTGATTTTGCTCATCGAATTAACGTTTAACCAACGTCAGACGCGGCATTCTTCAAAGCTAAATGAAAATCGAAAATTGGTTTGCTTTCATAACGTTGAAACAACGTTGATTTCAAGTTGATTTTCCGTTAGTTTTGAA